CTACCTTGATTCGGCCATCATTGCGGATGCCTGCACGAGTAACTGCATCTGATGATCCGTATTATAGCATCGTGCATACGCAACATTATCGAGGACATCCTGCCCAGATAGCTTGAACCTTAAACATCAGTAAATGAAATTTTGAAGTCAATAACTGGTCTTGAAACTGGATCAATATTCGATCACTGTACAGAAGTTAATTACGGAAATTTTAGGTGAAAACACAAAACAGTTCTAGAACCTTTCTGCAACAGCTAAGAGCCGTTCCGGTCTGAATGTTCCTTCCGTATCAATCCAAAGACACTTTCCTTCTGCACCACCCATGTCGATCGGTAGTTGACACATCACGGCCAGTGTATGACACAACTGACTTTTGCCAGTTCGAAACTCACCAAATATCTGCAAATTATTCCAATTTGCTTCGGGGCGCAGACAAAAATAACGATCAAATCTACGATTCCATTAAGGAAAGGTTCAAGAAATGAGAACGGATGAGTGAGGATAATCTTACTTCAGTGATTGAGCCTGTTTCAAAGCCGCCACCCAGAAGCCGATTTAGCTCACGCGATCCGGTTTCGATTTGAATAATCTCCGATCGTTTCAGATGCACTTCACTGGCAGTCGTGAAACCCATCGGAACCAATTTTGCGGCTTCCAACTAAATTTTTTGCAGATTGTAGCCATTTCGGAGTTCGTTTAAGGCAAGATTTAATTGAGATGAGGAAATCAAACAGATTAAGTTGATAGAAAAACGAATAAAAATAAGGAAAGTTCCACGAGTTTTGCGTTTCTTTACAGTAAGCACCACTCCNAGCATACATAGATTTTCTCAGCTTTTTGTTCGCTGATTCCTTTGATTGCTGTCAACTCTTTACGTGGTGCATATGCGATTGCTTCAAATGTATTGAAACCGGCTTCTTTCAGCTTCCGGATATCTGCAGACGCTATGCCAGATTGCTGAAATAATCGAGATATCAAAATCCTAACAGAATGCAAGATTACTTGATCCACTAAACAAAAATACTAAGAGATATTATCATGAATACAGATATCGAATTAAAAAATTGAACCAAATGATATCATAGGCAGATTCTAGGACAGAAACAAAACGTCACGATGCTTCAAGGAAATGCACAGTCGTTCCTTGAATAGTACCAATTTCACTCTGTGAACAATTTGGTGGAAAGGCGAACATACCTCAAGTCTTTCAATAACTGTGTACGGTCCCATTTCCTGTTCTTCTTGTTGCTGTTGTTGTTGAACAACAGCAGCCATCTCAGCCGCAGCACTTGACGTTGAAGCCTTCTGTTTCTGTTTTTGTGCCATGCCGTCCGCTATCACGATTCGATGCTACCTCACCTATGATAATCAGCACATTATCGATCACAGAATCA